TTAACTTGTATGACCTGAAGCCTTTGCTGTTCAGTTAGTCAGCTGTTAGTATGCGATAGCCTTGTGAAAATAGACACGCTGTTTTGGGGCTAAGAACCACCAACCTGGCTACACCAGGTCATCAGTCTGCAGCTGCGTGAAATGTTGAGTGCTGATGTATTCTTAATCACAAATAGCATTAATATTTCAGAGGGAAGCTGAGCTTTCTTTAGGGCTTTGAAGAAGTTATGCAAGAAGCCCTTGTTGCCTTGCCCTGGAGTGCTTGACTTAAACCTGGGGCTGTTTCCTGATGCACAGATTTAATATATGGGAGACTGTGGCTTTCTCTGTCCTGATTTTAAGTTGCTATTCTAAATTAAGAGGTTTCTGGCTCTGTGGGAGGCTTTCCCCCTCTTTAGCTGCATGTATGGCTGTGTTCATATGAAATGACTTCACAGATCCAGTACAGAAAAAACTAGCTGCAAAAAGCCCGTGGGCATTTTTGTGTGTTTGACAAGATCATACCCCAGGTCTCACTTTGTGTGGCTACGCAAACAATTCTGTGAATAAAATGCCCATGTGTGTGTGCTTACATGTAATGCTTAGAGATTTGATATATGGTTCTGGTGCAGAGTTACACTTTGGCCCAGGCAGGAAAATGAGATCTATAGGATTCACTGGAGCGTGTCCTCATAAAAACATACCGCCAAGCCGGAATTGCTGGAGCACGGCTGTCTCTGGCTTTGCTCTGGGACTGCGTGTTTCTTGCATCAAAGCCAGAAATGCTGTGGAATCACAAGGGTTGGAAGGGCCCTCTGGGGATCATCCAGTCCCACCCCCCTGCTCAAGCAAGCTCACCCAGAGCAGGGTGCACAGGACATCGTCCAGGTGGGGGTTGAATATCTCCAGAGAAGGAGACTCCACAGCTCCCATGGGCAGCCTGTGCCAGGGCTCGGTCACCCTTCAAGTCAAGAAGTTCTTCCTCGCGTTCAACTGGAACCTCTTCTGCTTCAGTTTGTGCCCATTGCCCCTTGTCCTGGTGCTGGGCACCACTGAGAAGAGTCTGGCTCTGTCCTCGTGACATCCACCCTTCAGATATTTGTATGTGTTGATGAGATCCCCTCTCAGCCTTCTCTTCTCTAGGCTAAACAAGGTTGAGGCTTTTAAGGGTTTTCAGTGCAGGATGGTCAGATTCACCTGGTTCTCCACAACAAAACATATCGTTACCAAAATAACCTTCTTCCTCATCCATGAAGACCTGTCTGTTGGATGCTCAAAAGGGGTTATAATCTACTAAACGTGACAGAGTTTGTTTAAATGTACAACTTTTTGTTGTGTAACTAAAGAAAATGGCCTTAAAAAGGAAGTCTAACTGCAATGCAGACTGTTGCAGTAACATTATTTTGGTATTGTTTTACCCCCTTTTGACTAGAACGGCTCAGAAGTGGTGATTTATTTCTGTTTTGAATTAACGCCTAGTACAAACCCACAATAATCAAATGGTGTGGTTGCTCTAAATTGGCACCTGGCTAAGCTAGGGGAGGATTAGCCTTGTACTGCTATTGTTCATTCTGAGTGTCTTGAATTTGTTGGTGTTGTGTAAGTTTTTTTTTCCATACAGAAAACAAGGAAATAATATTGATAAGAAAACACAATACGGATGCTGGGACTGTTTCACCAGATAAGATTTAGATTTCCGTATATACTTGAATGGGAGTCAATTGTCCTTTTTGGGTGCTCAGCGAGGATAGCGAGGTGTCTCCGAGCTGGAAGAAAATAGTGAAACCTAACAGTGACCTGCTGAAAAACACCCTGCGTGATGGAAAGGGAAAGGCATCAACAGAATAGTGTAGTCTCTTACATCGTTAGCACGAGGAGATGAATAGGTGCATTGTCCAAACCAGATGAACTTGTTCTGTAGATATTTTTTTTTATTTTTGTTTATAAAGCTGGTCTTAAATAATCTCTGATTTAGAGCTTCGAATTCTTGCGTGGTGGATCTTGTAATTAAAAGCAAACCAGTTAAGCAAGTACAGGGCTAAGGAGTGTATAAGCGCGTTAATCACCTTAAGCTCACACCTAGCAATCTCGTTCTTCTTCGTTGTATGCTGGGATGAAGAGGTTGTGGTCTTTGAGTTCTAGTAATTACTGCCTTTAAACCTGAAGCTATGTACTAGTAGCCTGCCGACAGTTCCTCTAACTTCTTACCATACACGCTTTTACGCCTCTATTTTTAATGCTTCTTGCCCTTCATAACACTTGGATAATTCAGCCACTCATGCCTTCATTTTAATGTAGTATCTTGGGGTTTTTCTGTCTGCTTACAAACCTTTGAAGTCTTGTCTCCTACATGTCAAATGTGTTGCATACAAAATGCTTCAAGTGCTGTTGCTGCACAGTGGGTATGACCTATTTTTCATGCTTCTGTGCATTGGAGCTCAAACTGGAGCCACTTAAGCATGGCCAGGTGAGGCCTCCTGCACAGCAAGAACCTGTTCATACCCTCCCCCATATGTACTTGTCAAATACAAGGAACTGCACCGGTTTTATGCGTCCCATAATAAACCGCAGCCATAATTGTCGCTAATATAATGGCACCTCTGAGTCTGGACTTCGCTAGAGCATTGAGTTTTGGACTTGGGTGGTCTTGGTCCTGCCAGACTGCCTGGGGTCTAGGCAGTGATGCCCCTTTGGGGTTTCCAAGCCTGCTCAGGGTTCAGCGCCTCTGGCTGTATCTGCATTTATAACCTCCGTTTCCTGATCTCCTTTTTTTAGTGCCTGCATGCCTTCTTTTTAATCTCTCCTGAGCCGAGGTGGTAAAGCAGCCTTTGAAGTAGTTCCACTTGGGATATCATTCCTTTCCCTGTCTTAGGGGAACTTTCTCAATCCAGCTGGTGTTTTGTGGCTTACAGGTTCTGGCGTTGCACGATTCCTCTTTTGACGAACCCTTCTTAGCCAGGAGCCGTGCTGTGCCTGAAGTTGTCTTTCCAGACCACTTCCAGCAGGTCTGGAAAGCCAAATGCCAGTTCATGTGTTGTGGTTAGAGCCAATCTATTTGTCTACCTGGACAAGTTGGAGAGGTGGGCCTGTGTGAACCTCATGAGGTTCAACAAGGCCAAGTGCAAGGTCCTGCACCTGGGTCAGGGTAACACCCAGTATCCATACAGGCTGGGGGGTGAAGGGATGGAGAGCAGCCCTGCCAAGAGAGACTTGGGGGTACTGATGGATGAAAAGCTGGACATGAGCCGGCAATGTGCACTGGCAGCCCAGAAGGCCCAACCCTACCCTGGGCTGTGTCGAAAGAAGCATGGCCAGCGTTGATTCTCCCCCTCTACTCTGCTCTGGTGAGACCTCACCTGGAACCCTGTGTCCAGCTCTGGAGCCCTCAGCACAAGGACATGGACCTGTTGGAGCGGGGCCAGAGGAGACCACAAAAATGATCCGAGGGCTGGAGCAGGCTGAGGGCAGGCTGAGAGAGTTGGGGTTGTTCAACCTGGAGAAGAGGAGGCTGTGGGGGGACCTGATTGCGGATGTTCAGTGCTTAAAGGGGCCCACAGGAAAGACGGGGAAAATCTTTTTAGTAGGGCTGGCTGTGACAGGACAAGGGGTGATGGTTTTAAACTAAACCAGGGTAGTTTTAGACTGGATCTAAGGAAGAAATTCTTTACAATGAGGGTGGTGAAACCTTGGCACAGGTTGTCCAGAGAGGTGGTGGAGGCCCCATCCCTGGAAATATTCAAGGCCAGGTTGGATGGGGCTGTGAGCAACCTGGACTGGTTAAAGGTGTCCCTGCTCCCTGCAGGGGGGTTGGACTGGGTGACCTCTGGAGGTCCCTTCCAACCCAAAGTATTCTGTGATCCTATTTAGCTTGCCGTTGCCATGAGGGGGAGGCCATGCTCTCCCTCTGGGCTCTGTGTTTTCTTTCCCCACCTTGTGCTCATCTGCACTGACCATGTTCATCACTCTGAACCCAGTCAAAAGTCATGTTTTCTTTTGCAGGTTTAGAGTTCAGTTAGGAAAGGGTGTGAGAGCTGGGACAGGGAGGAGGGTAAGACCATGAAGAAGGGAAAAGAGCAGATGAGTTCTCTCCATGTCTTCCCAGGGCAGTAAAATAATGTTGGCTTGACTCATCTGTAATATGTAAAATCATCTTCATGCAGCAAGGAAAACTGCTTGGCCTTTGCTGGGCTCGCTCCTGTGCTAGCTTGTTGCCTAGGCACACCGGTACTAGTTCTAGCATGAAGGAGGGACAGAAAATGCACCCAGGTATGAGGAGGGTGGGATTGCGAGAGCTCTGATTTACATCGCTTTAAGCTTCCCTGTTGCTTCTTGCCACCAAGGGGTGGGGGGAACCAAACACAAAACTATTTGTGGGGAAGGGGTTACAGGCAACACTTCTGCTTCTGCCCAGTAGATGTTCTGATTGCTGTGTGTTACTGGCGTTACCACAGGCACTTGGATTTTAGCTGGCAGCAGTGATTTTTTTTTTTTTTTTGGAAAGGTGGTGAAGAGAACAGCAAACATTTCTAAGGTTTCCCAGAGTAGAGTGTTTCAAGTAGAGAGCAGTAAATCTAGAAATAAATGGCCTCCATCAGTGTGGAGGTAATCTGCAGGAGCCCATATTGGTCATCAAGCACTCTTCTCTCTGCTTTTGGGGAACACGCAGCATGCTCCCCTTCTTCCAGCAGCGCCGGCCCCATGCGCAGGATGCGACCTGTGCAGGCAGCTCATGCCTGCCCAGAAGCTGTCAGGAAGTGGCAAAAGTACAATCTGTCAGCGCTTGGAGTGTGTTTTATTTCCTTTTTCAGCTTCACCCCGTTTGTTTAAGCAGAAATGTGCCCTCAAACTTGGCTTACTCCTTCGGGGTTTTTTAAATTCCATTTTAAAAAAAGCAGGCAAGCAAGTTCTGTTTGTGCCCAAATGGCCTTGACTGACTTGCGAATCTGGACCAAGTGTTAATTAATGTGTTGACTTGTTTCCCAAGTTATTTCTCTGGTTCCTTTTTTTTTTTTTTTTATCAGACCAAGCCTCAGAGGTGCAGGTGACGATGATGCTGACGGAAAGCTGTAAACTCAGAGGACTTCATCACAGGTAAGCTAAGCAGTATTTATAAACAAACCTGTATCTGCCTGAGCTGAAAATACTTGTGTTTAAAGCTCCCTAGGGGGAGAGGAAATGATTTTTTCAGAACTCAGCAACATTTTTTACGTTTGAAACTTTTTTGAGCCGTAAAGAACTGAAACTTTTTCTGTGTCACTTTTAATATACGAAACGCCTGATATGCTTCTTGTTGCAAAGGGTGCTTACAAGCTTTTTTCCAGCTGCGCAGTCAGTAAAATTGAATAATAGCAGCATGTGGGAAGATAGGGAAAGCCTTTGGTTTGGTATTCCAAGCCTTGCAGGGAAATATGAAATATTCCTTTTATATATTCTTTATTATTACTGAAAAAGGTGCTGTTGGCATGTGGTTGGTTTGTGCTTACACGGGCTAGTTGTTACACGTGCTGGGATCTTAGTGATGATGAGAGTAAGTGTGCGTGCAGGTTGATTATCAATTTAGCTAATTTACTAGTCTGGTTTATATTCCCAATTTTCTGCATGGCACAGACAAGTACCAGGATTAGGTACCCTCCCATGTGGAGACAAGGAAATGCATTTTATCGGTTTTGCATACTGTTGTCCTGGTATGACATCGCAGCACCTCTGTTGGGATTAATTCCTTAAGAATTACTGGCATGATCTTCTGGAGGGATGGATTAAGTCTTTAAATCAATGCCCCCAAAGAGCTTGAATTAGTGGGAGTTTTGCAGCTTGGATTAAAGGCTGAAACTGGCCTTAAAGCTCTTCATTACCAGCAAAGATGGAGCTAAGAAGAAACCTATGCACATTGTCAAGTCCCTAGACCAGTAATTGATGATTTTGCTGGTAATGTGAAGGAAATGAGAATAGTTCAAGCAGCATTATTAGCCCTATGGTGCATTTAAAAGCTGCTTTTCTAAGAATTATTATAGTTAAGACCTTGTCTAAAATACAGGATTATGAAAATAAAAGTAGCAGCAGGTTCTGGCAAATGTACTTAAAATTCAAACAAAATGAAATGCCTTCCCTCTCATCATTGAAAATCAGTTGTTATCCTCCCTTTTATAAGTCAAACTCTTTAAATAGTCCCAAAAGCTTTTCTTCTGTATGGTGCCTGTAAGGCTGGGACCTTGATCTTTATCGAAGGCAGAGCTACGTGGGTACATAGAGCTCATGGGTGTGATTGACTATCAGACTGCTTCAAGTAAGAACAGGAAATTTCAAAGTTCCCTTCTAAAAATCATTATAACTCCTTGAAGATTTCTGAATATGTTTTCAATGGAAGAACATACAGGGGTTTAAAAATTTAAACCTATAGACAGTTTGTTTCAGGTTTCTGCAAATTTGTATGTTGATACTGTAGAAAGGAGGTGAAGCCATGCAGCATGGGGGTAGTCTGAGCCCTAAGGAGGCTCGAATTCCTGAGGTACTCCTGCATTTAGAGTGCAATTTAACGTTTAGTCGATGCAAAAGTAAAAATTTCCAATCTGTCGTTTTGAAGTGAATTAAATATGATGTTTTGACTTTTTTTTTTTTTTTAAACCACTCTGTAATGGAGCTATATATTTTATATCTATGCTTGCATTTAGAATGATACATTCCAAGTTGAAGATAGATTGCGTCTTAATATAAAATATAATTTGTATTCACAGAAGTTTATTTCAGCCCTTTTGGACTGAGTGAAGAAATGTGGAGGGTTCTTCTAATGGGAAAGTACTCAAATATAAATATTATTTTTTTAAATGTCTAGGGCTTCAGTTATTTGGAGATCTTGTGCTCTGCAATTAGTAAAGCAAGATTATTGCTTTTCTTCAGCATTGTATTACTTTCGCTTACTTTGTTTAGCGATCAAGACGACTTTTATCAAATTTCAGGTTCATAAAATTAGGGATTCCTCTCCATGTCTTCCAGGAATCTGCTACCTATCACTCATGTCTGTATAGAAGAGGGAGAGAAACCAATGGTGCTGCTGCCATACATGAACTGGGGGAACCTTAAACTGTTCTTGCGACAGTGCAAGCTGGTGGAGGCCAACAATCCTCAGGTACAGTCAGAAATCTGTGGCTTCTTGCCCATTAAACTTAGACTTGGGTTTGTCATCTGGGTATATGCCTTAAAAGAAATAGTTGTGGTATTCACCTGCTCTGTTGTGACAGTGAGAGAAGTGGCAGGCAGGTTCCCCCGCAAGTGTTTGTCTTGATTCATATAAGGAAAATATTCTTGGCTGGGTTTATCACAGGTGTTCAGAGGGTGTGAAGCAGAGTTAAACGCTGGTTAGGGTAGTAGCTGGTATATCAGTGCATCTTAAAAAATATGGCAGATGAGTGTGGATTTAAGTTAGAATACAAGGGAAAATTGGGTACGGAGAAACTTCAGATTTACTGATCTTATTTTTGGTACAATTAGTAGACCATCCCTTTAATTACAGTGGTTCTAAATTATTTTATAGTAAGCATAAAGCACTTCTGTTAAACTTTTAAGATGCTGCTGTAGATTTGCTATTAAGTAAAATAACTGGATTTAACTAAAAGAAGCAATCTGATTTTTTTTTTTTTTTTTTTACTGCTGTGGGTGCTTTTTAGCATTCATAACTTTACTGGTTCAATGGAACCTGTCGCATATATTTCATGACAAGTGAGAAAGAATATATTCCTAGATGAGAACATGTTTTGCATATTCTTAAAAAACTGAGTAAGTGTTTAGTGATAGATGCGTATATGTAGTAAAACTATCCCTCTTGGGGTTATCTTATCTTCAGCTCCACCTTGGTTTGGCTCCTGTCTTTAGCCTAATGAAATCCTGTTTCCAGAGGTCGGCATTTGTCCCTGTTATGTGCCGGATTTCAAATGGCAAGGGCCACCTACCTCTGTTAATTTACAAGTCATGATAAGCTGCTGGCATCTTTCGGCTCTGATTTTACTTGTTTTGCTGCTTAATCTGAGTGTTAAACACCCATGCAACGCAGCTATATCCCTTTCCAAGAATTTAAGCAGAAACGGTATTTTTAATCTGTATTATGTCAAACAGGAGCTGCCTCTTAGTAACTAGGTATGACTGTACTTAACTGCCCCAAAACGGGGCTTTTGGTGTCCTAGATACTTATTTTAAGATGGAACTTTTCTAAAAATACCTGAAGCAAACTTGAGTTTTCTGAAATAACACGTGGCTATTGATCTTAATAACAACCTGTTAATGAAGAAGCCAGTTTGTTACTGTTTTAACTTAGTATTTGGTTTATTTTAACCCCAGTCTTGCAACTTCAGTGTGTCCACCTACATGCTGAAGTTTCTGAAACACTATAGCAATGGAAGAGAAAACCCAAGATATAAATATGTGCAAGGGTTTAATGTATATGGGACTCTGAAGTTGTAAAATTAGATGGAGCAACAGCCTTCAATACCAGTTTTCAGCAGTAGGTAGCAACACAAATTTTGACTGCTGTTTGTGCTCTGCTGCCTGAGAAGGAGTTGGTTTTCAGGGAAACAAAGTGAAAAAAGGGTGGTAAGAAGGGTAAAATTACAGAATCCTAGGATGGCAAGGGTCAGAAGGGACCTCCAGGGATCACCCAGTCCAACCCCCCTGCTCAAGCAGCCTCACCCAGAGCAGGGTGCACAGGGCATTGTCCAGGCGGGGGTTGAATATCTCCAAAGAAGGAGACTCCACAGCCCCCCCGGGCAGCCTGTGCCAGGGCTCGGTCACCCTCCAAGTCAAGAAGTTCTTCCTCATGTTCAACTGGAACCTCTTCTGCTTCAGTTTGTGCCCATTGCCCCTTGTCCTGGCACTGGGCACCACTGAGAAGAGTCTGGCTCCGTCCTCGTGACACCCACCCTTAAAATATTTGTACAATATTGTAAGATATTGACCATTTTTGCCTATGTTCACAATTAAGCAAAGGAAAAGTTGTGAGGCAGTTGCAAACTGGAAACATTTGCCCCTGGCATGTCCAAAAAAAAAAAAAAAAAGTTAAACTTTAGAAAAATAGAATAAGGGGCCTTCATACAGGTGGTAGGGTCTGTAGCTATCAGAAAGTATCAGCTGCTGAAGGGGAGGGGAGGGGGCACTACAGTACAACAAATCCATTCACCTTGCCAGCGCTGGGCTTGCTGTTTTGCGATGATTGTTCTGTGCTCTTGCAGGCAATTTCCCAGCAGGATCTTGTACATATGGCTATTCAGATTGCCTGTGGAATGAGTTATTTGGCCAGACGGGAGGTCATTCACAAAGACCTGGCTGCTAGAAACTGTGTGTAAGTACTCAACAGGGTAGAGTCATCGTGTAGACAGTGTTATGTCTTAAGCCCAAAGAAATGAGCTTTCTCCGACTGACCTGATCTCTACTTCAAAATACACTGTTGTTTGGTTTTTTTTCCAAATTTTGGGTGAATAATCTTGTCAGTGAAGTTGTTTACCTCTAAACATAAGGTGAACCAGGAAGCAAGGTTTTTAGGAAAGCAGAATATCCTCATCTTAAATACATTTGCTAGGTTTTGTCTATCCTTTTTTTTTTTTTTTTTCAAAAGCTTGAAAAATATTAAAGCTTCCCTTAAACTTTAATAAAAACCTGGAATATCTTTGACTGTTTGCCAATGGATAGATTTTTTTGTATGAAGTTGGTTTTCTTTTTTTTTCCTGAAAAAAATAGTCTAATGGCTTCAATCACCGATAGATTCCGTAGTTGTTAATTGTTGGATAGATATGCATGTGCTCTGTAAATGGTAGGAATGCTGAAGTAGGGTTTGAGACCATCTTCTGACTGGAATATGCCCTTAAAATGTGGATTGAGGTGTCTGCTGGCTTTCTCTAAACCAAATTGCTCTGAGACCACCAACTGTGCTCATTCTCCACCTGCTGTCATACCTGATAAGGGGAAACACAGAAATACAGGGTTCTGCCTAAACTTAACATCTGAAACTACCTGAAGGAGCGGTTAATCCATGAGCTTAGGCTTGTGATATCTACAAATAACATATAATTCAAGTAACACAGTTACTTCTCAGAATTCAAGACCATGTGTGAAGCCTTGAATTTAAGTTCTTGATTTGGAGAGACACTTCTTGCCTCCCCCCGCCAAAGTACGTGTACAGGTCTATTAACGAACCAGCAGTGAAAGAAAAGGAGAAAGCAGTCAACCTCTGGGTTATACCCCAGAGCTGCGTACAAATTGTCGGTCAATGAAGTAAGTTCTAATGAGGTAACTGAGCTACTGATGAATATAAAGTCTTTAACCTGAAATAGGCTATTAGAGGCAATTCTGAGATTTGATGAGCTCATCGTTGGATCACTTGGGATGAATGCACATCTTGCGTTCCTTCGGTTACGATGCTTCATTTATTTTTGGAAGAAAATAAAATGCCTCATGGTTTAGTCATTAGCATGATTCTTCTTGGGTCTGTTTTATAAAAATGTTACTGATAAACTAGTTAGTTGCTCAGAATCGCTGCCCCCATTTTCTTTATGACCTTGGGGCATGCATTGCGTGTGATCCGAGAGGCTTTTTGCCTTAAAAACACCTATAGGCTGTTTTCAGGCCCTGTCTTCTGCCAGCATAAGGGTGTAAAGACTGGAGCGTGCTCCCAAATCTTCAGGTTTCTCAGTTGCCTGGGCATGAGGAGTGACTGGGTTACTGTCTCGGTTCCTGTTCTTTGGCATCCATCTCTTTCAACTTTTTGCCACCTTTGTGTTTTCCCTTATTTGCCATCACGTTTTCCAGTATACCTTTGGAAACACTTCCTGGGATCCTCAAGGCATCAGTCCCTCCAATATCTTCAAGGCACAGTTGTTGGACCACCTCATTGTACCCCTTTTTGATTGGGGGTTTGCTTTGATCGTTCCCACACAGTCCTTGAAGTAGAAGCCCTGTTTCTGTCTCTGCACTTTTCATGGAGAGCATTCTAGTGTATGGTCTGCCTTGTGGCCCTGCCACTGGCGTCCGTTCAAGAGCTCTGTGCGTCTGGCTCAGCAGTTAATAGTAAAATATGAGTCGTGTTCCCCACACTGGATTAGATCCCACTGCTGAAATCTGGGCTGACTTCCCTGTTTAGCCCCTCAGGGTTGTCACAGGTCACTATTGCTACAGCTTGTGTCCTTCGTGCTTCTGGCCACAAAACCACTTGGTCCTCTCAGGTGTGATTCAGTGCTTCAAATGTCCAAACCAGAGCCAACAGAGCTGCTGACATCGCATCCGGTCGCATGACAGGGCTAAGAGGAAAAGCTGGGAGACACTTAAGTGCTCATGCTTGTCCTAGGATATTCTTTTACCAGCTGCATCTGTTATACTGGCAGCACTGGTGTTGGGTGCTATTGGTGTATTAAATACCGGGACGTAGGGAGCAGCGAGATCCACACTGAAGCCACCTCTTGTGCTTTTGAACTGGTGCCACTGAGCTAGCCCAGTGAAATCCTTCCTGGCTCTTGCACTACATAAGGATGATCAGTTTGGTAGAATTCCCGAGAGACTCTCTTCCTAATTTGTATTGCTTCTCTCTGAACATGCTGAGGAAGAAACCACAGGAGACAAAGATCATAAATGATGCTCCAGGGGAAGTACCATGTGACAATCCTTCATTTCTGTGCTGTGGATTAATAGCCTCATGCCCTTGCCGTGCGAAGGCTCGGCTGTCCAGGCTGCTTGACTCCTTGCCCTCCTGGGGCAATGTTCAGCTTCATTTCAGTTGCCATATGTGTGATCTGAAGTGCTGGCATTAAAAATCAATTTGCAGTCCACCTGGTGCTCCTTCTCCATGGGAGATGCAGGCAGGAGCTGAGCATCTGATCTGCTGCAGTACAAGAAATCCTGGGCTGGCGTTAGGTTTTTAAAGAGAAGGAGGGTGCCAGTAGCCAGGATCCCTTGAAGGGCTTTGGTTCATCTGCCACCCTCTTGTTCCCCAGGTCTGCTTCTGCGTGGTGAAAGGCTTGGGAGGAATTGCTATGAAGTGTATCATAGAATCATTCAGTTGGAAAAGTCCTTTAAGATCAAGTCCAACTGTACCTGTCCACTGTTAAACCAGGTCCCTAAGCACGCCAGACCATTGTGTACCTGTGTCCTAATTTTGGGAAGGGAGCCAGGATTGCAGTGGTCTTGGCAGGTTTGTTAAGGGAAGAAATACTTTTGGTCTCATGGCACAGCTGGGCACAATTAGAGTGGATGTATGGATTACACAAGTCAGAGCTCTCTAATCACTGGGAAATTGCCCTTTGTATTGTATTTGTTTATAGACAGGTCTTCTAGGAATTTCTCTGAACTCCTAGGAATGATTAGGTACGGAAATTTCCTGGTCTGTAAATTTTGAGGGCAATGAACTGACCTGAAAGCATGTAGAAATGGGATAAATACAAAGGTATTTGAGATAGTGAAGGGGGAAATGCACACATTGAGCATTCCTATAATTTTTCTCCTTAAAATAAATAATTGACAAGACATAAAGACAGCAAATGCCATTTTATGATAATCCCCCTAACCCAATGTTATCTCTACATTTTTGTTGTAAGAGGTTAAAGCCAACACCTTACTCATGTTCAGAAGTCAGCTGTCTGAGAACATGGAACTTTATTAGACACTTTTAAGTTCAAAAGAATATGAATAAAA